GCCCCGGCCCAGCCCCGGCCCAGCCCCGGCCCAGCCCGACCTTGCTTGCATAGCAACAAGCAGCAGTAACTGCATAAAAGCCTCGTTTGCATCACTGTTTTTAAATTGAAAAAGGAGGCCTATGGGGGTTAGAAAATGAACATGGTTTTCTGACACGTTTTTTTCTTTTCAGTAAATATGTACAAATCATTGCCAGAATCCTACACATCAATGCCAAACTTTCCAAGGGACACCCATGCAAACATAAGGACAGGGGAGGGACAGAAGCTCTCTGCCAGAAAATAATCTACAGGCTGAAATTCCTGAAGGCTGCTTGCTTCTTGCTCTGTGCATTTTGCACATCTAACAGGAGGTGGACACCCAAAGGGCCCAGGAAACACCTCCCAGGAAAATGCAGCCCCTTCCTTCACTGCCTGAGAGCAACAAAGCACCGAGAGTCACTGAAGCCCACGAGACTGACAGGAGATGAAAAAGGAACTGGATTTCATGACTTACTGTCCAATACTTAATGAAATACTTGAAGACTGTTGCAGCAATATACAAGCAATACAACAAAGAATAGGCTAAGAACAGTAGAAAGAATTTGTAGTTAGAAAATCCAATGCAGTTATTCACCCTGGAGGACAAAAGCAAAGTTGAAATCAGGATTTGTGCAGCACACAGTGGTTGTAACACAACGAGCACGACCAGGTTTGGGGGGTTTCAAAGGCCCGGATCACACCACCGAATTTGCCAATAAGCAGCTCCCCTCAGTGGCCAAAAGGGAACAGAACTGATGGCTCTGCTTCCCACACAAACCCTTCCTGCGGGCCAAGGAGAAGCACAGCTCAGATTTTTGGGATTGTTTGGAGGTTGGCACCACAGGCAAATGGGTCACAGAGGCAGGAGCTCGTTCCTCCTGTCTGGGTCTTGTCTGCCAAGGGAATGAGAGCTGGGAGTTCTGTGCTACTTTCTTCCTTTGCAAACCTCAGGAGCCACCTCACCCCTGCCTGTTTGCTTACATCCAGCCCAATTAACCCCACACTTGCTTAGAATTCTCCATGCACAGGACAACTCTAGAAAGGAACACGGGGATGTACAAAAATCCATAGTGGGTGTTTGTGTCAGAACTCAGGTTTGGAAAATCATCTACTATTTTGATAACCAAGAGGGTTCAGGTAGGGAAATGTTTGTGTAGTTTCTGAATTCTTAAATTTTCCTTTTTTTTTAAAAAAAGGAGGAATTTAAGAAATTTAGTGGCAGCAATTCTGAAAGGTGGAAAGCTCAATTATTCCATGCAGCTTTCTTTACAGACTGTCTCTGATCAGCATCAGTTCAGAAACAATCCATGTGCAAATGTTGTTATTGGAAGCACCCCAAGTGCAGCTGAAACACTGAGACAGCCCAAAAGAAAGGCTAAGCTGGAGCCCTTTTAAATTTGAATAAAAGTTAATGAGTGAATTAGCAGTTGGGGTTTAAATTTTATCAATATAATAGCATTTTTATACATGGGTTATGGAGCAAACATGAATGATTTGTTAAAATTTAATTTCAGGCAAATTTCAAAGTGCAATTATTTTGTAATTTTCCCAAACTCAAGAGATGAATGGTCTAAAATGTGAGAGGCATACAGACATGAGAGGTATACAGAAATATCTCTAAGTAGCCCTTCCTTTCAGAAAACCACAAACCAGTGGACATATCTAGGACAATCTAGGACATACCATGGACAGTGATGATCCATTTTTAGCACACACCTGCAAAAGGACAAAAAAGGAAAATGGAAGATTTTTAATTTGTACTTCATTACCAACTGCAGGTCAACTGCAAAACTTTGATTTTTGTGAGGTTTCTACATGGTAGACACTCAAAATTATGCTGTCTCTAAGTTTTTTAAGGTAGATATAATTTTAAGATGGAACATTTCTTAGAGTTTGAAGACCATTAGTTTGAAGCTAATGTCCTTGGGCCGATAAAGAGACGAGAATGATTTCTGCCCTAGAGCACTGCTGGCTGCAGCTGGAACAGAGATCCTGGGGAACCTTTTTGTGTAAAAAGACACATGAAGGAGCAGCCCACTCACAGAACCTTGTGGTGACTGCACTGGGGTGAAGGACAGCCCATGACTTACATGGCACAAACAGAGCAATGGTGACAACGATCAGGTTTGATCAGCTGGCATCTGTCACAGAAGCGAATCCCTGGAATTAGAGACAAATTAACACAAAATAATGGAAAAATGCTCTTTTTTTCATGTCTTGGTTGATACTGTGCTCATTTCCTAACTATTCTTTTTTTTCCTCCATCACTTCAGCAGGTGAGCTGGTGTTTGCTGCCAGGTCATAATCAGGTAAGCAATGCTCATAATTCTGCTGGAGACTTGCAGATGGGGCAACAATCAGTGAAAGCATAAAATCATAGAACCATGGAATGCTTTGGGTTGGCAGGGACTCTAAAGTTCATCTTGTTCCACCCCCTGCCAGGGGCATGGACACATCCCACTATCCCAGGTTGATCCAAGACCTGTCCAACCTGGCCTTGGACACTTCCAGGGATCCAGGGGCAGCCACAGCTGCTCTGGGAACCTGTGCCAGGGTCTGCCCACCCTCACAGGAAGGAATTCCTTCTTAACATCTATTCCAAACCTACTCTAACCCAGCCAGCTCAAAAGTGACAAACTAAAGCTGCACACTTGCATCCACATTTACTCAGACTACCTACATTTTATTTTGATAATTCCCAATTTATTTCAGTTCTCTACTTCAAAATTCTTCAGCTTGCCTGACAGAAACAAGCAGGTCAGAGCCTCCAATATGAACACAGATTTCTTTAAGCTGTGAAGGGAGTGCAGCAGGCTTTTAATCACTGAACAAAGTCCAGAAAACTGATCACAGAAGTATGTCCTGCATCTCTAAGCCAGACTCCATTTTAAGTAAAAATTAGGACAGATTTGGTTATTCTATTGCTGTTTCTAAATACAGACAGCACATGTGGGCTTATGGACTGTAAATCCAAAGGGCAACATCTTGCTTCTCAAAGGCAGCACATGGCACTGCACTGAATTTGAGGGTTCAAGGCTTTTTTTGTTTTCCCTGAGAGCAAGGGAGAGTCAGTGGGTGCCTGGGAACGCTGTTGGTCAGCAGGATCCCGTGAGTGCCAGCCCGTGCTGCTGGGGTGTGTGGGGGTGGATGTGGGGCCACCGTGCTGGGCTGACCTCCATTCCCTGTCCTCGTGTACACCGGCAGCTTCCTGGCGATCTCGGCGAGGATCTGCCGCTGCACCTCGGGCCTCTCCTCGTTCTCATAGCGCTCCTGGTCAGCGTAGGACATGTGGAACTGCGAGCAGAAGGCACCAGAGGAGCAGTTACCCATGGGGAGAAGAGAGCATTTCACATACAGGTGAGTTTGGAAATGTTTTTACCTCCCACTCCTGAGATTCATGCAGTGGGAAAATGTGGTTGTTAAGACAAAGGGAGGTAGTGAGTGCTGGAGAGCCAGAATACTGAGAGAAACATCAATAAGAAATGAAAAAGTGAAATTAAGGCTCATGAAACAACTTACTAGAATTGCTCCTATCACTGCCTTAGATGAATACCATTACTCACCTTTATAACACATTCAGCACCTCTCTAGTGAGCAAGAACCTTTATATTTTTAAATTTTTAAAACTGGGATTAGTTGTTACTTATAAATTTACATTCTTGTAATCAGGATCAGAGCAAGGCTGTGTATATTTGGAGTGCCACACAAATATTGACCTTATTCTGTTGCCTCAGACTGAGGGTTTTATTAGTATTTCAGAGAGGTAAAACAAAATGTGAAAAAAAAAATAAAATCTACCAATCCAAGCAACATGACAGAGTAAATATTTGGTTGAAAATAATTAAAACACATTTGCCTCTGGCTCTCCTCTCCAGATCAACTAGACTGAAGGATTTTTAAGTTTTCTTTAACATCTCTGCTTTCTGTTTTGCAAGGAATGAAAGGTGTTGGCTCTCTTACCTTTTTGCCTGGTTGTATTGGGAGAGTGAAAACAGACTTCCAATATGTCCACACAAAGAGCACAAAGAGAATATGGAATACTACAAGATAGGCCACTAAAAACAAAACAAGAAAAGAAAAAACAGAAACAGAGCAATGACTTCTTGAGCAAAGGTTTCATCCATGATGGGCATAATTCAAATTTTTCACATAGATGTAAAAAAAAAGAAATAAAAAGGAAAAAGAAAGGAAAAGACAGATGTCTATCCAGTGCCACCCATTACTGCAGTCCAGCTAAAGCTTATGGCTCAGGGTCAGCAGCATCCCAGAGCTCAGGGTGACCAATCTCAGAGCCTCCCCTGCTCCACCTGATCCCATTCTGTGGGTGAGGAAGATGCAGCTGTCAGAGAATTGTCCCACAGGGCAGTGACAACCCTGTGTCCCTAGGAATGACAGCATTCCTGTCTCTTCCCCACATCCCAGGCAGAAGCCCAGGAGAACTGGCAGTGTATAGGTGAATTTTGCAATTCTCCAGCACCTTCCAGTATTGGGGTTCAGTTGCTGCTAAAAGCAGTGGGAAGCAGAGTGTGTACTGCCCACTCCTGCACCACGTGCTTCTTGTGATAGCAGAAGGAAATAATATGAGCTTTGCATCACCAGAAAAAGCCAAAATTCTTATTAAACATCTTTTACATTTGCCACAGTTGATACAACAAATCAGGAAAACTTCCCTCAAATTGAGTAAAATAAGGCTTGTGATTACTGAGGAAGAATTGCCAGAATTGTGTCCTTCAGCTGCACAGATTATTTGCCATTTCTTTAACACTTACCTCGTTAAGACATTATCAAAGTCACAAGATAGTTTTATTTAAACACATCATTTCATTGCAATAACAATCTTGTTTCCCCCGTTTCATTTAAGATTCAAATTCTAGAAAATAAGATTAAAATAACTACTTGGAAAGAGAAATCTAAAATTCAAACACTTCTTAACTATGTCAAAACACTTCTTTTCCTGTGTGAAAATTGGTAAAAAAGGCCAAATGTATCAGTGAAACTTTCTAATGAGATGGCAAATGATGGGACACATCTCACAAGGATGTGATGGACTGTGGGAAGGAGCTGTGAATCACAGCTAAGTCATTCTCATGCTCCAAGCTGGTTTGAGATGTTATCCCTACACTACAGGTGGAGCTGAGCCATTTTTAATTAACATGGAAGGAGATAAATCTTGCAACAGGTTTAATTTTGTTGATCAGCCCAGCAGCACATTAGAGAAAGCTGACCTGGAGATGCACTAACGGATTAGGCAACTATTAACTTTCTTCTGCTGAGTAGTCATTAACATCCTGCTTTCTGCAGTTTCTCTGTAGCAATTTCAAACATTAGAACTGCTCAATAGGGGAAAGAGAATTTACTGGATGCAGTAATCTGGAGGATCTTTAAATGTCAGCTGGCACTATTCTTTATGGAACAGCTTACACTACACCTACTTCTGTCCTTCATAACCCCTGAAGAAGAAAGTCAGCAAGAGAGCACCTGGATTAGCCAAAAGCATCCAAAGCATCTCCAGGAAAGAAGAGGAAGGATATTAAAATAGCCACTGACTCCTTATTCTTAGAACATGGCTGTTACCTCCACCAACACACCGGTCTGAAGAGTGTCACTGAGCAATCCTACCGTGTTGTGACTCAGGATGTGTTAGTGGGCACCAGAACTGAGAGAAAAAGCTCATCAAAAATAGCTTTCACTGAAAGGTCAAATGGAACCAGGTGGGCTGCAGATGGGAACTAGTATTTTCTGTTTGTCTTGTAAAATCAGCTCTGGAAATGTGAAAGGGAAAGGGAGAAGAGGCGTGTGGGTGTGCACAGACACACACAGCTTTTCCTGAAAGAGTCAGAGGGATCAAAGCCTTTCCATGTTCTGCCCAGACTGTGACTAAACAAAACATTTCCCAGTGCACCCAGAAGGTGCAGCCTGCTCTGAGTACCTCAGGAGGGTGCAATCACAGGAAGGAAACACTGAAAGAGGATGTACCTTTAAAAAAATGACGGCAGATATTTCTGATATTTCAGATAGAACAGTTGTGAGTCCTTTAACACAAGGATTGAATGGCAAATAATAAATTATCACACGTACCTTTCTCCACAGGGTTGCTCACAGTCACTGGAAAAGAAAAAATAAATGTGTGTTCACAGAGGAAATATGAATCCCAGAGAAGTTTGTGACAATTAACATTTCTATGTGAAATAAAGCCATTTTAGGAAAAATGTTCAAATTCAAGAGGCAAAGAGAGAACCCACAGATCAGCATCAAACCAAAAGCATCCGTAACAACTCTTCTTTCACTCTCACACACACCCACAGCAAGATGTTCAGTCACTGTTACTTGTGCTGTGTTTTCCCTGCTTATAAAATATATTCTGTATATTTTGCATTAGAAATATGACAAAAGCAATCCACTGGTGACAGTGAGAAGATCAGCAGGTCTCCTCTAGCACCTGCCCAAGCTGCATCTCTATGCATTTACCACATACTTGCAGCTGCTTTCCACTGGTCTCCAGGTGGTCTTGACCCTCCTCTGTAAGCACTGTCCCAAAGCATTTCTGCATCAGTAGGATTAAAAATTTATAAATTTCTCAGCTTTGGCCAAGTCAGCAACTGCAATGACTTCGTAGTTTTTACATTTCTTACCAGCAGAAATTTTACAACCCCTTCTTACTTCACCATAGTGAGAGAAAAGCCCCTACTAACAGAAGCCCTTTGAGCAACCAGCAAAAGGTGCATTGTTCAATGCCTTCTTCTTGTGACTATTTGAAAATCCATCCATTATTTTAAAAGCCAGCATCCAAGTTTAACAGAAGAGACAAGGACAGCTTTCTTGAACTGAAAACAGAGTGTTCTGTGATGTTTTAACAGCGTTCCTTGGAAGACAAAGCTCTGTGACACACAGCAACACAGACAAAAAAAGAAATGGAATCCTTTTGTGTCTCTGCCCACTCAATTTCAGGTAAACAAGACTGTTAGGAAACATTTACTTTTCCCTTTGGTTTTCTGTCAATCAAGCTATGATGAGCTTTAAACAAACACTGCCTGGCTCCCTCCTGACCACACCTGCAGCAGGGCCTTGCTAAGGCTTTTACCTGAGAAAAGAGCACAAGCGCAGATGATACAAAAGGTTCTGTGGCAGGATCATTGTTGTCACTGTGGCAGCAACTGCCAGCCAAACAGGAACTGAGGCCTCCTCCTGTGACTCACTGGTCACCCCAGGCACTGAGAGCTCAAACCCAGCATCAGGAGGTGCCTCCCAGACATCACTCCCACAGCATTTCCAGTGCTCTGCACAGCTGAAAATGCAAACCAAGATTCCAGACAAAGCATTCACTATTTACAGGCTCACAGCAGCTGAGAAGAGGCAGCCAGCTCAGCAAGCCTTGCTGTGTTAGAAATGTGGGGAGAGACAATGTCCTGGTTAGCAAGTGACAGCAGAGGCCAACAGTTCATGCTCAAATTCTGAAATATTTCAGTCATTTCAACTTCTGCATAGATAAACTCCTCCACACACCAATAAAAGAGATGAGAGAGAAATGGGACAAAAAAGCAGGTGGGTGTGGGCAAATGAATGATTCTAAGCTGTGACTCCAGGCAGTGAGCTGAGCTCCTGCCAGCTGAACCAGCACTTGCAGAACAACACAGCCCCGATCCAAACCTCACTCAAATCACCTGGGTCTCCTCTAGCAGCTGCACTGAGACCTGGGATCAGCCCATGTTCAGCTTACGGAATTTGCACAGAACATTTCAAAAGACTGACAGCGTTTCAGAAAAATAATCCCCATTTTTTATCACATGTTCTAATGACAGCTACATGCACCACTGAGATATCATCCCATGTGAATTCTTGAAAGAAACAGCCCAAAGTCTCAGAGATGGGATAAATATGATGAAGTGTTTGGGAGCTTTGTCAAGCTGCTGATTAGAACAGACCAAAGCTGCATTTCATTCTAGTTCCCATCGAGAAAAAACAACAGGTCTCACTGCCCTGCCGACCCTAACAAACACCTGATTTACATTCACTGTGCAGCACCAGAAGGCATCTCATGCCCCAGAAACATCTCAAACCATCCTTTCTGGGACCTCTGGTTTCCTTTATCTGCCTTACTCTATCCTGGGGAGCCACATCTCCTCCTGACAATTTCACAAATCCAGGCTTCCAGCTCTTCTCTCCATCAGACCGGGCAACTCTTTTTTTTCAGCAGCACACTGAACCAGAAATAACAAACATAAGAAAGTTTGCAACTTACTATACAGTTCAATTGCTACATTAAATATACAATTACTAGCCAGCATAAAGCTTCCTCTTCTAAAAGGCAGTTTTTTCTGTGCTACTGTAACAACTCCAACCCTGAGTGGGATTTCATGTAACCTCCTTCTTTCCTTTTCAGAATATAAACATAAAACGATTGTAAGGCAGGGCACAAACTGATGTTTGTAACTGTTTCGCTCATAAATCACATCTGGACGTTATCAAAGCTCATAAATCACATCTGGACGTTATCAAATCACAACAGCATTGGCTTTCACTGCGGGATCACTCTCCCAGCCCTCTCAAACGTCCCCTCGCCGCCGCCAGGAACACACAAAACAAGGGCTCATGATTAACAAACAGCACCCACAGCCCGCACCAGTCCGGCCGGGGCACAAGCCCTGTGGGAAACAGGGCAGCACGCCCTAAACCCCCTCTTTAGTCCCGAAAAGGACTTGACTCGTACTGAAGTGTTTCTCGCTGGGCACGGATCACTGCCAGGCTGGGAGCCTCGGGACACCGCGGGCACCTGGGCGGGCGCGGGGCCCCGCGAGGAGGAGGAGGATGAGGATGAAGAGAGGATGAGGAGAACGAGGTGGAAGGGGAGAAAGCGAGGAAGAGGAAGAGGAGGAGGAGGGGAAAAAAGAAGACGAGAAGGAGGAGGAAGAGGAGAAAGAGAAGGGGAAT